TTTTTTTTTTTTTAGAAAATAATACATGTGTGGTTGTGACCCATAGGTGTTCTTCTATTTTAGGATGGGGTATTGGAAGGGGAGGGGTTACTTGTTCTGGAAGAAATAATCCTAGTTCAAGCTGTTTTCATTTAAATTCACATTATGCAAGAGCAGGTAACATACCTTTTATTTTAAATTTATTTTCCTTATCAATTAGAGCTGCCAGATTTCAGTTAGTGTAAAGACATGAGAACATGGTATAATAAGTAATTCTATTAAATGTTATAGTACCAGAGAACCATTGATGGTGAACAAACCTCTGTTCACTTCTCCAGATCTGTGAGTTCATACTTCCTTCTGTTGTTTCAGCTCTGGTTTTTTGTTAAGGTGCTATAATTTGTGTTGCAGCATGATTTTATTGAAAACAAAACAACAGCACATCATTTTTTGGAGATTAACAGTTCCTTTGAAAATAGCTACTCTGTTTCTTCATCTGTCAACAATAGTTTTATATTTAAAATATAGCCAAGCTATGGTCAAGATAATAAGTTAAACACAAACTGGTCATGATTGACTTCCTCTTAAATCACAAGATGAGGCTTGAGGTTTCCTTTATTTTAATAAATTACATAGATGTTCTTTCCACTCTCATCCTCCGGGCCTGCCTCACTACTTTATACTCCATATAATGGAACACATTGCCATGCGTGAACACGGCCCTTAAATCTGTTCACATTGTAACTTCTGTCCAGAACCAAGACCCGCACGTTAGAAATAAAAAAGCTCTGGACCTTTTTTGTCCAATCTCCCCCACATTACATGTGGGAAACAAAGGGCTAGAAAGTAAAACAGGTTGGATTATAACCCAATATAAAGAGACACTCTTTATGTAAAAACCTCAGAGCTGTGGGAAAACTGTGTTTCCCCATCAGTATTCTTTTTCATTCCCTTACCTCAGTCTATAAGGACTGGCTTGGGAAAAAAAAAAAAAAAAAAAAGAAATTCTGTGCCTTTTCTTTAGAGGTGGCTTGTATTTAGCGACATCCTATTGTAGTCTTTGAATGCTGTTATTTACCTCATAAGTACTTTCCTGTGATTTAATATTCATTAAGAGTTAGACCATCATTTTATAGCATAATATACTTTAATGTTTCTCCTCTTATTTTGTTCAGTTTTAACTTCACAGGTAATTAATAAATACATTCCTATAAAAAAATTAAAACAGTAATCTCTCAGTACAAGTGGGAAGACTCAGTCACCAAAAGTTATTTCAACTCATGTGCTCACATTAAGTTACTGGGATACAGGAGATTCACTAGGGTCCCAGAAGTTGCAGAACTTTGTTTAGCTCTCTGCCTGGTGCATAAAGGGACTCTTGTGTCTTAAATTGTAAATTCAGTTCCAGAAGCCATGATCTTACCCAGCCTGAGATGAATCAGGGAAATTGTTTGGAGTTGGTAAATTGAGGGATGGATTTTATTCTTCAGCAGCTCTGTGTTATGCTAGCCTTGATCATTGGAGAGAAGTAGAGCAGGGATGAAAGTGAGAGGGCAGGTTGTGTGCAGAGCCAAGCAACTGCAATAAGTTGAACCCCAAACTGGTAAGAAGCCCTAATATAAGGTGAAGGGATAAGGCATAGGAGACGAGACAGCTGGGACCTCCTTCGTGATCTGAAATCTTCAAAGCCATGCATGTTTATTGAATGGCCCCTAACTTACTCTGGGCAACACTAGTCTGGAGCTGGTCTGGGAGTGGCAAGGTTGTTATTATTGAAAATCGGAAGGGTTTCAGTGCTACTAATTCCATGCAGGAGTTTCCAAGCCCTGCTGCCATGTAGCCACTACACTGTAAATACTTCTTTCGTTCATTTCCAACAAATATTTGAATGGGTTTAAAAGCATTTGGTGCTTAGCATCAAGTATCAAAGGCTTTTATAATCTTTACGTATGCTCTTATTGTAATGGAAGCTAAGTGAAAGAGGGTAGTCATATTGTGCAATATGGTTTCTAGTACAGAGCTCATAGGTCAAGGGCTTTGTGAAGATTCTAAAAGGGTAGATTGTTGAGCAATAGCCCTGGGATGTGATACTTTGCAAAAAATAAAGAAGTTTAGGGAATTTAGCACACTATTGGCTCCTCTGGAAGATCCACATATTTATTAAAAGCTCTCAAGTTCTGCATTGAAGATACACACTTACCAATCTTTCTAAACAGGGAACCAGTTTGTGTGTGTGTGTGTGTGTGTGTGTGTGTGTGTGTGTGTGTGCGCGTGCGCGCGCACCTGCTTATGTAACACACTATCTAATAACATCCCATGGCACTATTTTCTGCTGTATAGAGTCATGGACATTTAGATTGAGGAGGACTCAGGAAAGGGGTCTGCTGGCCATTAGAGTCCAGGGTGAGCTTTCTGGGTGAGCACTTGTTCAGAGGGATGCTTACACAGCTAGTAAGCTAAGGTGACTGTGATCAGGGAAAGGGTGCTAAACCCGATCTTATTACCAAATGGGGCTGCCTTAATATAGATTGTTGTGAGAACCTAATATTGGTAGGATGGAAGATTGCATAGTTTTAGTGCTTGTTACATCTTCCGTGGTCATAATGATTTGTAACCTGTTGTAACACCTGACCAGTGACCATTCTGGTGCATCTGCCATGAAAAGCCTCATGAATATGCTAAAGACATCTTTAGTTATGCATTTATTGATTTTACTTTAGGAAGGACTTTTAAGGAACTTGTGATTTGGTTGATTTCAGTTAAATTAGATGTGATTCTCTATTATTTAGGTACTTTTTAGAAGGGTTTCCCAATATAATGTTAGGGTGTTGTACTCTTTCTAACAATCCAAAGGCAGAAAAGAAATGAAAGAATAAAAGGTGCTGTTCTCAGGGTGGAGGGGCTGGGCCTCACCTCACCTCTGGTCATCTAGTAAAACCAGGTGGTCTTTGCTGCTTCTTCGGTGGATGAGACAAGGTTTATTTATCTTTTGAACCATGAGGCAAGGTGGTCAGCCAAGATAAAGAGGTCCAAAGCCCCAATTTCTTTTTCTCCAGAAGAGTATCTGAGGAGTAGATTTTTCTGGGATGATGATTCTAAGAAACAGTAGAAACTTGGGGGCCTATATATTCACTTGAGTCAGCCCTAAATTAACATCTACAATTCTGAAGAGCTCTGACTCCATTTATATGCCTACTTTTTCTGTGTTTGACATAGGAATCCCAGATGAACAGAGTCCCAGAGATCACTTACTTTGATTCTACATTGTGTAGACAAAGAAGCTAAAGTTCGGAGACATGAAGGGACTTGCCCACAATCCCATAGTTGGTCTGTGTAGCTTAATAGGAACCTGGATCTTCTTTCCCAAGCCAGAGATTTCCCCAGAGTGCCTTACTGCCTTGGTCCTCTCCTTGCAGGACTGATGCTTCTGAATCTGCAAGCAATATTAGTAGATATTGCCACATATGCTTTGGAAAGGGTTATACCATTTGTGCCTTTACTGGCAATGTATGGAAGTTCCTGTTTTCCAATACTGCCACCAGCACAGAGTTCTATTCTTCATTACTCTTAATTGGCAATTTTTTTTTGTTTTATTTGCTGTGAATGCTGTCCTCACACTGTTGAGTTTCTTTTCCAAACCGTTCTTGCCTTTGAAGGCAGGGAGTGAT